GTTTTTCATCTGATGATGGACACCAAGCTGTAGTGCAAGGTGTACTAAGAAATGCAGGTTCTAAAGTTAGGAAAGCGCTCCTGAGATCTCAGCAACATGTGCATGTATCCAAAACCCTGATGGAAGTAACTGGTATTATTCTTCCCTGGATTTCATCCTGATTCTGGAACTGCTCCATCACCAGACTGCTCCGGGGGCACAGAATCTGAACTCGCCTTGGTGGACATGTGACCGGGGCTGGCCAATCAGTGTGCACCATCCAGCTGGCAACTTAGATCCTGCAGGTGTGGTCCTGTGACCCGGCCCAGGGCACTTGCTCCATCCTGCCCAGGCACTGAGCCCCTTGGGCAGCGCAGCAGCTCGTTGCTGCCACCTGGAGATGTCAGCCTGCCCTTTGCAGCCCTGGCTGTAGAGCCGAGCCGCTCTCTGACTCATCAGGTTCCTCGAAGAAGCCATCCTGATGAAATAGGAGCCACGGCTCCAACATCAATGATGGACAGCTGTTTTCTGATGATGGCTTAATTACATACACCCTGTCAGGTACCGATTTTCCCTGCTGAGTTTCAGCACATGAATTAGCAGTGCCTTCCCAAGGAAACTCGGTGCCAAGTTCTGCGTGGTAAACAGGGTCCTGGGACTTCAGTGGTTAAGGACCCCCAATCTCTTCTGTCTGAAGGTGGCCCTGCGGGGTTCTTGTTGGGTGCACATTCCCCAAGTCCAGGAGTGGAGGGAGTGCAGTCCTGTTGGGGTCTTTGTGAAAGTAGGGGCTCGTGTCATGGCCCAGGGGAGCTGCCGCCCCTCTGGCTGACTCTGAAGAATCCTCTCTGGCATCAAGGCAGAGCCCCAGGCCATTGCCCCCTGCTGGGCCCCACAAAGACCTTCCTTCAGCCAAGGCCACCTAGGGAGTGCTTTTTTCCCTTGCCTCAACAGGTTTCCAAGTGCACCATGATAAAGCAATGCACTGCAAAGTGGACCTCAGGAGCTACTTATCTTGCATAACTGACACCTTATAACTACTAACAGCAGTTCCTCCAGTTCCTAACCCAGCCCCTAAAAACCAACATTTACTCTCTGCTTCCATGGGTTTATTTTAGATGCCTCCAGTGACACCTGCAGCATTTGTCCTTTCGTGTCTGGTCATTTGGCTTAGCTCTAGGTTCATATGTGTTGTGACTTGGTGACAAGCCTAAAGATGGCGGGTGCCAGGTAACAAATATATGGTCTGCACCAAGAAGCAGAAACTTCAAGGGAGATGGGAGCTACAGAGAGATGTTGAGCAGAAGTATCACAAGGGCAGATCTGTGCTCTAGGGCTGCCACTCTGGCTGCTAGCTGGAAATTGGATATTAGTGTGACTCCAGCTGACCCTTGCAGAGCACCTGAAGTGCTTTAAATCGCTGAGTTACATTGACTTATTTCAATATATCCTTTTAGAGAGTCACTCCCATTTCACAAGTTAGGAAAATGAGGAGCAAAGAAGTGAGTTAACTTGCCCAGCTTCAAACAACCACTAGGGGTGGAGCCAGAACCACCCTAGAGTGACCCCAGGGTCTTTGCTGTTAACTGCAATGATCAATTTTAGGAAACTGTTTGCACTAGGAATTTGCTTATCCCGGGCAGAGAGTCCCCTGAAGGAACACAGATTCCTGCAGAAGCCATTTGAATTCAGAGCCGCACATAGGGAAAGTTCAGAAAAACTAAGTCCCTAATTAAGAGTGGAAGCAATGGTTCTGCTGAGCATGGCTGGTGTGTCAGGTGACATGCGCAGCTCTTGAACATCAGTGTGCTGCTGTGATCGGCAGATCAACTCTGGTGTTACAGAGATGATTGTTGCCATTTTATAGTTGAGGAATCTAAAGCCCAGAGAAGTTAAGTAACTTGCCCAAGGTCACAATGCACTTAGATCCCAGAGTGGTTTTCCCTGAAATTTTCCCTAATGTCTGGAAGGATCCAGGGTCAGATAAGAAGCAAGATCTAAGGACAGGTGAGACTAAGCTGTTCACAGTCCATCCAGAATCAGAAATGACAAAATAGGTGAGCTTAAAAGAAACCCACCGGACACCATCTCTGTAAGTTGGAGGCCATTGGTCTCCTTTTTCAAAAAATATTTTTGTTGTGCAGTAGAGTTGGGCACAGCGATGGGTTCATTTTGACATCATTATACAAGCTTGAGGTATCATTTGCTTCATTTCAAATACCTTCCCCTGTCCCTCCCCTCCTCCCTCTCCTGTTCCTTTTCCTCTATTGGTCTTTCTTCTGTTTATTTCTTGGTTTTCCAACTGTTGCATTTTAGATATATGTAAATTGAAACTCTCTGTGGTGTATTCATATAGGTTCACAATGCAATTTGGTCAATCTCTCTGCACTGTTTGTCTCTATTGCTCTTTCTCCTCCCTCTACTCCCTCTGC